ACTAGTACAGAAGTTTTAAGTTCTTAATTCTACAATGCAATATGTAAAAAAAAAATCCTGAATTTCTAATAGTGTGACACACGTGACACATTTTCTCTATGCATCATTTTTTCTCTATTTTATCCACCACCCCTCCAAAAAGTACGAAATTAAATGTAAATTACTCACTATAAAATCGTCATTGCTCAGACAAGCCGTAATTTTTATAGCCTTCAATTTTGTTTGGTTACAGAGCTATGAAACAGAAAATCACACCCCTCCTGCCACATGCACCTGTCACATCCCTTCTTTCAGGATTTGTTAATAGTTCTCTATTACGTTAAATTTTATATTACCTATAACCAATAGAAAGCAAAGGTTTTCATCTATCAAATGACATTGTATAAGGTTTTCTGAACAGATAAGTATCAATATCACTTATAATACACGGGTCATTCCTGTGAGAAAGTTAACAACTAGCTTGGATGAATTTTTAATGGCTCTTGTCACATAGTTAGAAAGCCAGACAAATTTTGAGAGTTAAGGGAAATTATCTATTTTTTGCATGTTATTAGTCTATGTTATTTGGTGCATTATTTAATCATATAAAAATTATCTAGTGCATTACTACCATTAGTATAAAGAAGGTATGGTTATGTGTCATCAACAATCGACAGTAAGAAAATAGAAGATTGGGTAAGTACTTTATTTCTTGTTTTTCATGTTAATTCTTTATTTATTATTATAAAAGTAACTAAAATGTAAAAATAGGGATCTTTTTTAGGTTAGATAAGATTAGATTAGGTCAAATAAATAATAAAAATGTTTCATCAGACACACAGGAGCAGCTTGAAGTAGCTCATGGGTAATGTAATTCAATAGCATAACATGAGCACCACATTCCCCAAGTGATTTACAGTTTATAATGGCATGAATAGTAGTTGACACTGTTCAAAGGGCAATCAAACAATAAAATTTAATTATAAATAGATTTATACTGTTAGAAGTTTAAAGCAACTTAAGATAAATGAATGTAGTTACACACTACATTTGGAATCATTCTAGAAAGAAAAAGAGAGTAATTTAGATTTATTTAGATTTGTTTTGGTGGTTATGAGGTCAGTCAAGTTCACCAACCTTGTATATAGTTAGGATAAAGAAAATAACAGATAAGATATAAAGTTTAATTGAAAACAAACATTTGAAATGTGTTTAGAAGGTTTTAGAGATTACACAAATGAAATTTGAGGTTTTTGAGATGAAGAAAAGTATTTTTAACGTTAACATGAAAATCACTTTGCGCATGGACTATTTAAAACAAATAACATATCCATAGACAAATCTTTATTTTAGTTTATTAAAAATACTTCACTAAAAAATATTTTTTATGTGTGAAAGACTTGTAAAGTTAACTGAAAGACTGCCAAATTTTGTGAAAGTATACACAATGTATTGGATGTTAGAAATATTAAATCTATAAAGACTTTTAACGAGTACAAAGAGGTCACATGGTTGGTCAAATTGACAGAGCCTATGTTGAGAGAGTTAATAACCAGACAGTTAAGCCTGATACTGTGAACTTAATCTTTTCTAAGGTGAGGACGTAGGTAGTAGCAACAGAGAAATGGTAAAAGCATAGATTGAGATGAAGAGCAAATTCTTGCATCTTTGACTGGATCCAGTCAGAATCAGGAGAAATATATTAGAGAGGATCCAGTCAATGAAGATAGCTATTCAAAGTGTCATCAGATAGGATATTGATCCCAAGACTTGTAAACGGTGACTGTTAGAGGTTGAATTATTTATTTTTGTTACAATTGTTCAGGAACATTAAAAAGTACAAGAAAAAATCAAATGTTTTTAGTAAAAAAAAAGAAATCCTACTTTTGTAATTTTACCCATATCTTGTAGTTTTATATAAAGGGAAGTTCCTCAATAAAAATTATAATGGTACTAAATAGGTATCCAATATTGACTTTACTTATTACTAACAATATTTCATGGTACTAGCCTATTTAATAATGCCCAATAAGAAATCCAACTGTGAAAACAGACAAGTTTAAAAAAATTCAAAAAAGTAGTGTCTAGTTACTATTTAGACTGTTTTTATGTTCATTTACTCACACTATATGTTTGCCACATAATCAAGTTATTTGGAACATCACTTCAAATGTCAGAAAAAGTAGAATAATAATTACGTTTATGTTTGAATTTCATTGTTTAAATTTTGCATAGTGCTTGTTCTGCATATATCTTACTTTTATATATTGTACTGTTGGTAATTTAAAACATACATGTACAAGTACACTAGTCAACCTATACTATACTGATGCTTTTTCACCTGTTCAAGTTGTTGTCTGTGAGTTAAGATTGTGAGTGGCTTATGGAAAAATTGTATCTGATGGATCAGGCTTGACTTGTTAATGAAATTTTAATTTATGATGATCTTTATTCCAGTGGAAGAACTAAAGACTGTTGTTGAAAAAAGTGAACAACAGCATTGGAATGAAGTAAGTGAGCTAGAAGATCGTCTTAATGCTACAGAAAAAGCAATGGAAGAAGAAAAAGAGAATTTGATGCATGAGTTGTCACGCGGAAAGGCAGCTGCTATTAGTTTAATGAAAGTAAGCTGATAATTTTGTAATGTGCAAATGTTAACTCAAGCCGATTTTTAGAAGTCTTTTAATTGTGGTTTTTTAGTTTGCTTTTACTTCAAAATGTTTGTAAACTTGAAAGAAAACAATTATACTCCTATATTTGTTCACTCTGATTCTGGTAAAAAACCTTACCACCTCTCACATATTAGCTTTTCCTGATCTTGGGCTGCCCTCTTTATACACTTTTTTGCTTGACTTGAGGCTCCAACCTAAACTCACATCTTCCCATGTGCTAATGTTATGCAACACACCCTCCTAGTTCAGCTGTCTCTCTCTATACTGATTGTTCAATCATCACTTCTTGATTTGGCACTGTAACAATGTGTCTTTTCCCACTTGTGAACTTTGCAAATATAGGCGTTTTTTAAGTGGAAGTTTCTATATAGACATAACCAGTTGTGGAAGTATTTATTGTTGGATTTTTGCTTTCCAACATTTTCTGTACGTATAGATTTTGTGATATTCTATATCCAAGTTATTATTACATAAGTGTTAGTAACTTCCACTTTGTTTGGTGTGAGGCAGTAAGACATTGGCCATGCTAGTCTAACAATTACATTGGTGTTAGGTTTGTCTTTGTCAGGTGGGAGAAGTGATTGCTTTTGTGCAGCAGTGGAGTCTTTCTTGTGACCTAGATTTCTTTTGTACCTCTGCCTATGTTGCTAATTCTTGATGGAAGAGAACTTGCTGGGTTTTTTCTCACTTCCAACCTTTGCCTAATCTTATGCTGATGCTGTTTTGAATCTACCTAGGCCTTTTTCATAATTTCAGAACTGGATTTCTCAGGTAAGTTTATTTCCTTCACTTCGTAATTTGTTCCTTACTTCTTATTTTTATGTGTGTACTTCCAGATATCCAAGTTCATATTTGATTACTTTTATGACTACTTTGATGAATTCATGCTTAGTCCTCCATCCTTTGTTACTTAATGTGCCTAGGCATTACTTCATGCTTATTACCTTTCTTTGACTCCTCGTCTCTGGAGTTTTTTTCAGACTTGGGGTCATATCTTCTGTCTTGTTTTTGTCTGTCATAGGCTCAGGTATTCCCTCTGTTGTCTTACACTTTCTACCCTTTTCCTTTATTTTTCATCCATTCACCTTCTTACCGTGGTAATCCACCATTCCCCTGAGGTATTTTTGGCAGATGATCATTCCCTTATCTTCTTTACAGTGGCTTGTTATCATCCTTGGCCTATTTCATATTTGGTTGATCTGTTGCTAAATTTTGTTGGAGTGTGATGTCCTTGTTACTCAAATGTTTTTGCCTCCTTTTTATCTTGTATGCCTTTGACTGGTTTCTTTCCCCTGCCTGTGTGATTTTATTATTAGAGTGCTTGTTTCTCTGGAGTCATATGTTAGGATTGCATTCCAATGCTATACTTTATCCTCATTTATACTATCTCTCCAGTACCTTTTCTTTGCTTCTTTCTGTCTCCTATTCTCATGCTTCCTCTCATCTTTCTGTCCCCACTTGTCATTTTTCTGTTCCCATCTGTCCTCCCACTGCTAACAGACTACGGTGCTATCATTTTTGGCAGTGACTATCCTCTAGACTCAAGGTCAATAGTGCCACTTTAGTTTATTTTACGGACATTTGACCTCTATTTGCTGCTGATTGTTAGGTACTGGAAATTCTGTCAGAGAGCTTTACCCTTCATTGTTTTCTCTCTTGTTCCCATTACTTTCCTTCCTCCAAGGGATCTTGTTTCTTGCCATCATAGGTCCTTGGCAGTGTTGATCCTAATGGCTACAGACACTATTGGATGAGTTTCTCATCCTTCCTCAGGATTTTATTCACACTTTTGTGGTTCCCCAGGAATTCAAGGATGGGCATCCAGTTTTACATATGTGTCAGTTGGTTTCTCAACCTCCTTCGATTTACTAGGAGGACTTTTATCACCCTACATTGATCTTTTGCCCCAGGTCTTGGGATGACTGAGGTGGACATATTGGATGCTTATTTTCTCATTTGGCTCTATCCCAACAAGCCTCTTAATCCCATCCTCTTTTCCTCCTTTAGGAGATGGTGTGCCTGGCTTGATTGGTCAAACTGGAAAGGTTGCATCTCACACTCATTCAGTATCTTATTCATTTGAGTGTTTTTCAGTTCACTTTTCTATAGGTCCCAGCTTTCTCTTTTTTGTTTGAGGGACATCAAGCAAGTAGTTTCCCTTGCCCTATTCTCTTTTCTCACTGTGTGGAAGGTTTTCCATCTTTTGAGTACTTAGGCTTCCATGGAATCCCTTATCATCATGGGTCATGTTCATTTGCAATGTCTACAATGGATCCTTGCATGTGATCTCTTGTCCTCCATCATTCTTCTTCCTTAATCAAAGACTTAACCTGGTGGCTCAACAAAACCAATACCAGAGAGAGAGAGAGAGTTCCTTTTCCTCCCTCTTGTATGGGTTTCCATTGGTTTTCAGATGCATCCTTTACAGAATTGGAGGAGGTATGTTTCAACTCTCAAGTGATTAAGCATTAGTGACCCCATGACAAATTGTTCCTTCATATAACACTCTTAGAGCTTTTTGCAGTACATCACTCTTTGAATCCTTCTCTTATGATGATTTAGGGACATCTAATGAAGATTCATACAGACAACTCGCCAGTTGTCTTATATCAATCACCAGTGGGGTACGTGGTCTCTCTGTTTCTGTTTCGACACTCTCAGCCTCCTTTACTGGACCCATTCTTTACAAGTACATGTTATTGTTTGTCATATTCTGGGTACCCTGTATCTTTTTGCAGATCTGCTCTCAAGGCCCAACAATATACTACCTGTGTAGTGGTCCCTTGATCTTCTGGTGGTTAAATGTTTGTGCTCTTGGCTGGTCACTTCTCTTCTAGATACTTTTCCACTCATCTCAACACCAAATTTCCATTTTTCATGTCCCTTGTTCCTCATCCCTTAGCTCTAGCTGTGGGTGTGTTCGGTTGGAACTTGTCCATCCTTTTTCTCTGTGCCTACCGTCATATTGATCTTCTCCCACATGTGCTTTTCCTCATTCAGGACACTGTGTTGAGTCCTCCTGATTGCTATGACTGGCTGGCTCGGCTGTGGTTTCATCTATTGAACTTTCTCTGGTCCTCTCCTCCTCCTTCCTCTGTCTTGCTCCTTATTCCTTCACTTTCACTCCTCTCTCTCCGATATGGCAATTTTTTTAAAATTACTCTGTTTTCACACACAGGTTTTGTCCAGTCACTTGTGAGACATTCCAAACTCTCTTCACAAGTAGCCTTCCTTCTTTCTCATTCCATTCATTCTTCCTCCCTCTGTGTCTATCAATGGAACTGGAGCATATTCCACAATTGGTCTCTGCATCATGTCTTCTCCTCTTCTTGGCCTTCTTATTCCCATCTTTCTCAATTTTTTACATGGCTGTTCAATTAAGGCTTCTCACTTTTGGCCATTGTTGGCTACAGGGCAGCACAGTCTAATACTTTCTGGTTTCTTACTATCCTCATGTCTTCTCCTCACCTGTCCTTTCTATGTTCTTTCATTCTTTTCACCATTTTTGTCCTCCACATTCCTGTAGTTCTTTCTGATTGGGAGCTGAATGTTGTTCTTTGCACCAATACCCTACCTCCCTTTGAGCCCTCATCTTTTTTTTCATTGTACCATCTTTCAATTAAAACCTGCTTCTTACTTCTTTTTTGCCTGTGGCTGTAAGAGATCTGATATGTATGCCATAGCTGCTTCCCATATTCCTTCCCATTATTTTTATATTCCTCTTTATTCTGGTCATGCTTTTTTCCCTAATGTTTCTGCAGCTTATGAAGGGGAAAGTGTATACCTTCCTATTTCCCATCTGTCCATTTCTACCTTTAATCTTGTTCTATTTCTGATCATCATCTGTGTTCCATCTGTACCACTCATCAGTTCCTATCCACTGTGGTGGTGGACCATGGAGACTTCTTCCTGGGCTTGACAATTCCAGTCAGTTGAGAATAGGGCAGTGGTGTTCTGTTGGTATAGATGATGTGATCCTTCCTCCTCCTGCAGACTGTAAGAAAAATTCCCTATATTTGCCACCAGATATTGGACTGGAGATGACCCATCAAGTACAGCACACCCCTCTGGCTGGCTTTTCCCCATCTTACTGCTACATGGATATTGGTTCCTAAATGGCCTGGTGTTGGATATGTGCAGGACCAGCCTACATAAGTCCTCATTCGTGTGGTTGGTTGTGACCCTCCTCCTATTGCAGACCAGACGAAAAATACCTAATGCTTTCCCCCATCTGACTGTTGCCCACATATTGGGTTCCCAGGTGGCACTCACTAGGTCAGCACAGTTGAGGCTACATTTCTTTTCTGTTTTTTTGTGATTGAGGTGAAGATAGTTGGGACCCTTGAACAGGATGAAAAATACTTGATGCCTCTAGGTTTTGGACTAAAGTTGACCCACCATGTAAGGTTTGATGCACCCTAGTCACACTACATCATGTCAATGTTTCACACTCTGATTTTGAAGTGTACTTCTTTTTCTACCTGATTTTATGACACATATCTTTATTATGGCAAAGAGGAAGTGCTGTTTCTGAAGGGTTTGCCCCTATAGTTTTCCATTGTTTTGCGTGTCACACTCTATTGGTTCCCTTCTGAATGGAGCTCATTTAGATAACTTTTGTACCAATCTCTACACCATTTCAGTGTGGGATTCTAGCGAACTTGTGAGCGGAGGTAAGGTATCATATTTCAAGTTAACATTTTCTAACAATGAAAATGTATTTCCAATAGGTACTTACCTCTTCTCACTCATCCTCCCCACTTCCAGTGCATCTTTTCTGATCTGATCTTAAAGTGCTGGGAGAGTGTGTCACATTCCTATTGGTACAGGGTTGTTGCATGCTTATTTACATGCTACACTGCAGCAATAGCATGTGGAAACACGTGAGGCTAGATGGGAATCTCAAGACTAGTATCAAGAGAAAAGGTGCACATATAGATGGCAGCACAAAATCGGGAAAAGCTAATATGCGAGCAGAGGTAACTATCTATTGGAAGTACATTTTCAGTGTTGGAAAATGTTAACTTTAGAATACCGCTTTATAGATAAATGTTCTCACAAGCTATATTATGAAGGATATTTTGCACAATTAATGTGTTTTTGTTGAGGTGAATACACAAACTGAAGTATGATGCAGTAACAGAAATGTTGTTTGATTGATTTCATTTGTTAACTTTAGTAATAAAGGATAAGTATATTTGGATTTGCATTTAGATAGTTGGGTGGAACTTATGGACCATAGAATACTTTGTTGCTTGTAGCACAAAAAAACTACCAAATATATTTGAAGATTGAAAAATGATTTTAAAAGTTTAAGTAAAAAAATAAGCACATTCCTTTTGAACTGTCCCATAAATTTTATACCATTAGCACAAGTACATTAATGGCCAGATGGAGTTACAAAAAAATCACAATTTGCCATTTCCTCATTCATAATTTGAACAGTTATGATATAAAAAGCTAGAATATAAGTATTTTGAACATTTATGATATAAAAAGCTAGAATACAAGTATTTGATTTTAAAGTTGATAAGATATAGACTATTCATGATGACAATGAACCCACTTGAAGTATATATATATCGTAGAAATAGCTGATTTGGGTATTTAAAACTTTTATTGAGAAAACACAAAACAAGTAACAATATTTCGACCTCCTTATGTCATCATCAGGTTAAGAATGAGATTTGAAAAAGTGACTGCTATTGATCACATGTTGTAGAGGTCAAGATGCAGTTACTTGTTTTCTGTTTTTGTAAATAAAAGTTTATAATACCCATCTCAGCTGTCTCTAATATATATATATATATAGACAGCTTATATTATTTTGTATTTTTAATATTCTTTAGTCTACTTATAAGCCATAGAAGCCATTTTTATATAAGATTCCAAATATTTTGCTAGGCTGTAATTCAACCTGGCCTACTCTGTTAACCCTATGGCTAGATTTTCAAAATGATAAGCTTTGTAAATTTCTGTCAGTATCATAAACACAATGTGTGTGTGTTAGTATTATTTTTATTGTGTAAAATGTTTTACTGTTGTAAAATATTTAGTGACCTGAATCATTCAGGTATGCATAACATTCAGAAAACAAGGATTTTCAAGTCTGTTACTGCACATCTCTCCTTGAGGAAAGTAAAAATGTAAACCCACCTTTATTTTTTAGGAAATCATCAATTCTTCTCTTAAACTCTTGTAGAGTACTGCTGATGGCAACTCATTCCATAAATCTATTACCCTGTCTTTTCCGGACGTTTAAATTGTGTCTTCTCATCTTTACAATACAGCACAAAGAAACCAGAGGCCTTTATCCTATTAATCTTCTAGATAATCCTACAAACTTATTAAAAATACCCCTTGCCCTTCTTTTTTAATCCTATCAGGTAGTATTTCCATTTCCAGAATCATCCTAGTAGCTCTCTTCCTCTGAACCTTTTCCAATGTTAAAATCAATAAGGAAACTAAAACTGTATGCAACTTCATGCTATGACAGTAATTGTTAGAGAATGTATAAAAACTGCTAAAATTTTTCTTACTAAAAAAGGCATTCTTTTATACATACCATCCTAATGACTACGAGATCCCAAAAAATCAGGGTGTCAAATAAATTTAAGTTAACTACTTTCTCTCACCACTTTATAGTTTATGCTCTATCACCCAAACTATCTGAAAACTGTTATTTATATACATACCTGTCAAAAAATGAAGGGTTGGAGTATTGTTAAAGAAAAACCCCAGGGGCATCCATTCTTCTTTCATCAAGCTTTGTTCACCAAACTTTCCTCATCATCATAAAATATAAACAATCACATGTTGAGAAAATAAACACAATTTTCAAGTACACTCTAAAAATCAATTAGAATAATGCAAACTTAGATTAAAAATGACTTGTAATATGAACATTACACAAACAAAATGACATATGACTTTTATATATATATATATATTAGATTTGAATCAGTGGAAAAAGGGTAGTATTATGCCAAAGTTCATGACTTTTATTTACATTTATGAAAATCATATCAAACATTTATTTAAATCAATTTGTTTTTACTTTTCAGTTTATTCTCCACATTATGACCATATCACAAATCCATTGATATGTCACACATACTAGAACATATTTTTTTAGTTTTGTTATATAACCTAAAAATTATGGTTTAAATGCCGAAAGAAGATGAAGCATCCAAAAACAATAGACCTAAGGTTTATGATAGGAATTCTATCACAAAGTTAAAGTTTAAACATAAAAATTCATTTCAAGTACTGTCATTATTTAAGACTAATGACAATACATTTGGGAGAAAGAAAAAAAGATGTTTTACCCAAAAAAACTAATAATAAAACTGAAATACTTCATGAAAACTTAACACATGAGTTATGGTCACTAACCTCTAACTTAGAAGTTTTTAAAACTCACTAAGAACTTTGAAATGTCTACATCAAGCTAAATATATGCTTAAACTAAAATGTAAAACAATCTAAAAGAATTGAATTCAAGTTACCCATTGAATGTTTGAAGAATTATATACATACTTAAAGCAACAGTATCAGGTCATAGTTTTGTTGCTAAGTGACACATATGGACAGATCACTACCTAAAAACAAGTGGCTTTTATATATATACAAGCAAAAGTACCCATCCTCAATGACGGGAAAAGTTTAAGTTAATCTATCAACTTAAAAAGGTTAGTTGTGTTGCAATCTTGATTTCACTTAGAGCCAAAGCTCTGAGCTGCTTATAATGTTGAACATTTCAGTCATACTAGGAGCCATGCAACAATAGCATATGGTAAATCAACATTTTTATTCTTTAAGTTACATCAAATTTTGAAATGTAAATGATAGTGTGATTAATTCCTAACAATTTAGTGTAGAATATCCTGCTTGTGAAATAAAATTTGACATCAAGATTATTCATGACTGTTCTCACATCGTTTCAAAAGTGAATATTAATCTTTGCCTGTGTGTGCAGCTTTTCAAACACAGTGCGGGAAGCAGCTGCTGTAAATGGAAGACAGACGAACGTTTGGACAGACATCAGGATTCGCAATATAGATATAAGATTAGATAGCCATTTCTTGTGCTTTCTGATAATTATTCAGTACTTAGCCATCATTTCAGGACTATGGTAGCATTATGGACCTTATTTGTTCTTATAATATCCTTACCTCTCTTTTTATAATGACTAGTCCTGTAAGGATAAAAAATAAAGCACAGAGATAAGAAAATCACAGATATGTGACTTTCTAAACTGCTACTCATGCTAGAAACAAAGTATTCATGAAAAAAGCATCATATAATTTTTGTAATTTTTCTCTATACACTTGTTTTTACAACAAAATATCAGCTATGATTAGCTACATTTAGTAGGTTTTTGTGGCTAGTTTGAATTTTTAGGAAGTGTCCTTAAATACTAGATATTTGATTCATTTATATAAAAATGGAGATACATCCCATTTCTCTTAACTTAAGTTAGAGTTAAACTTGCTTGTTACTACTAATGTTTTTAATTTTTCTAAGCTCCAAAAATATCCCAGTTAAAGAAATAATTACTTGTAAAATTAAGAAATCATATTCATTCCCTATTCAGAATGTTCTTTTTTTTTTTTTTAAATTTAACTTTTTTTGTTGCTTTATTATTAGATTTGGTTGTGCAGTAGGTCCAGTGATCCATTTTATTCCTAAATTTTAAGTATCAAATTGAATTTTATTTTTCCAGCCAGTTTTGACACTTTGATTTTACATTTAAAAAAGGTCGATTTTTAATAAGCTTTTCAAAGTCCAGGTCAGAAGCAAGTAATTTTAAAATAAGCCATAATAAGATGTATATATAGGTAAGCTGGATTTTTTTTTTCTAATTTAGGAAGAGCTGGGAAAGAAGGTATCTACTGTGGAAGAAGAATGGTTGAAAAAAATTGAGAATCTCAAAGCATATTACAACAAAACTCTTGAAAAAAAGGTATATTTTGTCTTTATTTAATTTTATTTCGCATTATAGATTCAGAAATTTTCATTTTATGATATCATTTGCTAATCCAGCAGTAGTTTTCTGTAGCTATTAGGATGAGCTGAAACAGAGTTCTTGCTGAAACACTACATATCTATTTTTGATGCATTCATCCAAGTTATTACAGATAAAGTATCAAATAACAAAGAAAGTGCACAACTGTACTGTAAGGATCAGTTTCATACTTTTGAGGGATTGCATAAAACCTCACATTTTAGATTTTTTATATAAATCTTTGCACACAAAAAATTTGTATATCTATTTTAAAAATCTGGAAATATGTATTTTTTCAATTTCATAAAGTAGTTTTTTGCATAATTTTTTTTATTTGAAGCAGTTATTCCATGTATATCTGTGCAATGATCTTGAAATTAGATGAGGGAAGTATTGCATAACATTGTCTCAATGAGCATTCATTACTACTTAAAAACCATTTAGGTCATTTAGCCAGTGTTTTACACATATATAATATATTGGTAATAATTATGGAAACAGTGAGTAAAATATTTATTAAATGCAAAGATTCCTTTATTATCTGAAAACGATTGCATCAGTATACACTTGTGTGATGATAGTTTGAACTTTTTCTCCTTCAATCAGTCATATAGTGACACACCAGCGTTATGCCTATAAAATTACTGGCACTCTCACTTTTTTTCAGTAATAGTGCAGCGAATGCACTTATGATTCCTAAGTGCACAAATGTCACATTACACATGTAGAAAGTTTTGGATATTGAAAGTTACTTCTCCATGTGACAAATTGAGCAAAATTTCATTTATCAGTAGGAACTGTATGAAAACTCCAAAGAGAGTATGTGAATCTAGTATTCTTTATAATAGAAGCATTCAAGATGGAAAGCCCAAACTCTTCAAAAGTGATGTTGTGTATCTTGAGGTATGCTATTTACCTGATACATGACAATCTATTAGAGATTTTGCCAGTGACTTAGCTGTAAGTACAGGTGTGAATATTAGTTAAAACAGTAAGATGCACATTAACAAAAAGTCTCAATGGATGTGTAGCTGCTCAAAAATGACTGGTTAGACTGAATCTTCAAATAATGAAATGTGTAAAGCTGGAGGAGGGATCTTTGTTTGGCAAAAATCAAGAATGCTTTACGCGAGGTTGAAGTTCATGAAATTGAAACTAAATAATCTTTCATAGTAATAAGCAAACAATGATTGATAAGCATAAGGAAAAGTTTTATTGATGGTGAAGTATATTACATGTTGTGACAGAACATTGATCTACTGAAAAAGACATACCAATGTTCTAGAACAAACTATATAGTATCGTCCACATACAATAAACTTTTCCTTATGTTAATAAATCATTGTTTGCCTACCTGTTATTATATTAGCGTAATGTGCTTCCTTATTCAAGTAATCTTTCATAGATTGAATTATAAATCTAACAAATAAACCAAAGAATATAAAAGTAAGAAATAGAATAGAAACTAACAAATTGTTACAGAATATAGTAGCAAAAAGAAGAACTTGAAATTTAAGTCTCAAATTATTATTTATTTTAAAAATTGGCATGAAGCCTGTATTTAAGACTCATAATAAAATAAACCTTAGAATGCTAGGAATAGCAATAATGCTGTTTTGCTTGTATCAAGCCATGAAGCAAATTTTATAAGTACGGCAGACAAATAGTGTTGGTTATATTTAACCAGCAGTGTATGACGAATGACCAGCAAAAATATAACCTGTACACTCATGCTTCTGATGCCATAAATAACAAAAATATGTTTTAATTAATGTTAAATTTATATATTTGAATTACCTGTAAATAAATAAAAGATTTAATTTTACATCTTAATAAACAAAGATAATAATAAACATGCTTTATACTTTTAATTTTAAATATAAATTTTATTATCCACTGTATAATTTAAATAGCACCAAAGGGTCAAATTGTTATACATTAAGGGATCATTTAAAGGAATATTTATGTAGTGGGTGCTCTGAAGTTCTTTACAATGGATTAGAATATACACATAAGTATTATAGTGTCACAACTGTTATGCTATGAAAGCATATGATTAGCTACATAGTTCTTAATATGGCATATGTTTGGCCAACATACAATTGTGCATGGGTTGAAAAAGGAAACTTTGGTATTATACATTGAGAGTTATATTTGGGGGTTTGCATAAACTTAATGTTTTATTTTGTACAGCTGTTAATTACTTCTGAAATTATTTTGTTCTAAAACTTAAATTTTAAATAGTATGCATGTTTATGGAAATGTCAGTTGAAAATAAAGTTGACAACTACTTGTCAACTTTATTTATTTTGCTTCCTAATTCCTGACTGCCAGCCAATGTATTCAAGGGTAGTACATGTATATTTTCCTCAGTTTTCTCATGTTTCATTATTATATTTGATTAACTAACAAAAGAAGACACACATCACAATGTCTCCTATATTTCAGACTGTCACTTTTTAAATATCAAATTACACACAAACATATCAAGTACAACACAGTATGGGATAGTAATTAAATTTGTAGTAGAAACTGAAAAGCAACATTTTTGATATGGGAACTAAAAATGTATTACACTGGCAAATAAAAAAATATGCTGAATTTTAAACTATTATAAAAGTATTTGTTTTAATAACTGTTCAATTTTTTAAAAAATTATTTACTTGAAGGATGATGAGGTTAAAAAAATAGTGGAAAAGAAAGACTCAGAATTTCGAAAGGAGCTTGAAGAAAGAACAGAACAGATGAAACTAGCTCTTGAAGAGAGAGATCTTCAAAAAATGGCAGCAGTAAGTAAAATGGACAGCCAGAAAGATAAACTTCTTGAAGAGGTAGAAGAGATGAAAACTGTAAGTTTGAACATTGAGACAATTAGTTTTAATATGGCAGTTTCAACTAGTTTAACTAGACAACGTTTTATACCCAATGAAATTATATACCTTGTTAACCCTATCGTCCCAGATATCCTTTACTGAGCATGATACAAGGATTTAGTGTCTTACATTCAAAATTTTTTAAACTACTTTCTATTTATGTTATACCAATTAGAATAGTATTAAGTCTTCTACAAGGCAAAATTTTAAAAAATCTTCAATTTCCACTTATATGACCCATGTGACACATTTTCTCTTAGTATGTTATCTTCCCTATTTTATCCACCACTCCTTGAAGAACTAAGAGATTAAATGTAAATTACTCCCTATAAGATTGGTTAAGTATTTTATTTCTGTTTTTCATGTTTATTCTTTATGTATAATTATAAAAGTAACTAAAATGTAAAATAGGGATCTTTTTAGGTTTAAGATTATATTAGGTAAAATAAATAATAATAATATAATAAAAATGTTTTGCAAGGCACACACGTGAGCAGCTCAAGGGTAATGTGATTCGTTAGCTGCATGTTCCCTGAGTGATTTACAACTTATAATGGTGCAGATAGTAATTAGACATGGTGCAAAGGGCAATAAAACAATAAAATTTAATTATAAATAGATGTATACTATTACAAACTTAGAGCTATTTAGGATAAAAAAATTTAGTTTTATGTTACAGTTTGAAGTCATTCTAGAAAGAAAAAAAGGTAATTTTGATTTTTTTGGGGGGGTTATGAGGTCGGTCGAATTGACCGATCATGTTTTGAGATAGGGTAGAGAAAATAACAGATAAACTATAAAGTTTTACTGATAAGAAACATTTGAAATGCATTTAGTAGGTTTTAGGGATTACATAAAGGAAATTTGAGATGAAGAAAAGTATTTTTAATGTTAACATGAAAATCACTTTGCGCATGTACTATTCAAAACACATAATGTATTCATGGACAAATCTTGATATTATTTTGTTAAAAATACTTCACTAAAAAAATATGTGAAAGACTTGTAATATTAACTGCAAGACTGCCAAATTTTGTGAATATATACACAACATATTCAAAGCTACAAATATATATATAAAGACTTTAAACGAGTACAAAAAGGTCATGTGGTTGGTCAAATTCACAGAGCCTGTGTTGAGAGAGTTAAGGAACAAAATTAAAACCATTCTTCGAAAGGATATTGAATGTAGAAATATGCCAGCTGAATATGAATGATTCCATTTTGCATCTGTTTGTTGAAGCTAACCAGCCTTTAAATGAAGCTGTATTATTTTATTTTTCTAGAGAGATCTTTGTATTTCATATATATATCAGACTTTTAGTGCTTGAGTCACATATTTCATGATTCAGATGTGGACTTGAGTCACCATTGCAGAAAATGGGACTTGAACTTGACCATGTGTGGCTTGTAATCAGATTCGGACATGTGACTCAGAAATAAGGCAGAAGTGCCTTAGCTGTTTTATCTGAATTCATGATAGTAATTTTCAATCTGCATGTGAAAGAATCAAAAGTCTCTACTGAGAACAAAATACCAGTTTACATCATTTAGTAAATTCAAACTTTGTCTTTCTGTTGGTTTTAAATAGTTCAATATTATATGGCAGAAAGATAAATTGGCAATTTGTAAAAGAGAGGATGTGGTAGGAGGGTTTGCATGTGGTTTTGATTTTGTGGTCTGTATCTTTGTAAAGAAAGAAGATGGAAGGATTTAGAAATTAGGTTATACCTTTGTATTATCTGTACTATAATGAGAAATTAGGTTATACCTTTGTATTATCTGTACTATAATGAGAAATTTATGTTAAACCCTGAACATTATAGAGGGATGATAGAAAAATATAAAATGGGCAAGTCAGAGCTATGTCACATTACATAGACAAGGGGAGATTGAGAATCTGTTTAACTGTTTCCTTTTGAAAGTAAAACATATATAATATTAAAGCTTGATTTATTAACTATGTTTTGATGCCAATTTTATTTTTATATATTGATAATAAAGTAGTTTAATTAAATTTTGAATGTAACTCTATAAAAAGCCATGACATGCATATTTTTACCTACCTGTATGAAGAGTTAACTAAATGCTGCTTTGCAACAAAAATTAACTGTACCTGTGGGCATTGGTGATATAATAGTTTACTGTCTATTGCAGTGTGATGATTTAACTATAGGGCTTGTGATGATATAATATTTTACTTTCAATTTCAATGTGATGATTTAACTATAGGCTTGTTATAAGATAATATTTTACTCTCATTGTGATGATTTAACTATAGGAATGTGATGATATAATATTTTACTGTCTATTGCAGTGTGATGATTTAACTATAGGGCTTGTGATAATATCATCTTTTACTCTCAGTGTGATGATTTAACTATAGAGCTTGTGATGATATAATATTTTACACTCATTGTGATGATTTAACTATAGGGCTTGTGATAATATCATCTTTTACTGTCTATTTCAATGTGATGATTTAACTATAGGGCTTGTGATGATATAATATTTTACTGTCTATTTCAATGTGATGATTTAACTATAGGCTTGTTATAATATAATATTTTACTGTCTGTTTCAATGTGATGATTTAACTATAGGACTTGTGATGATATCATCTTTTACTTTCAGTGTGAT